TTGGCTTATTCACACAATAATATTTACTGGATGTGGCTTAGAATCAGTGCAATCTGACTGAAGTGAGTTTATTGTACGTCAAGTCACAAAAAATGCACTAATACTCTGAAAACTCTCAGTTTAAGTGACAAAACTCTTTCAAATTCATAAAATACACTGCTGTCTTTGCAAGGGGTTTACATAGCACATTAGTGGCAGACCGATAAGTTTCATTTCTAAACTCCCCACCCATCTGCCCCATCAGCATAAAATCCTGCTGATCCTTGGCGCAGATGACACGGTGCCCAGCGCTGGTTCACTGGTTCAGTCTGGAGCCACGAACATGCCCACATGAGCCCGGGATCAGATCGCAGCCTGAATCTCTCCCTGTGTTTACCCTCTTTGATCTCCCGGTGTAATAATGAAAAATGTGAACTGTCCAGCTGGAAAAAAACATGCTGCTCAAAATCAATACGGAAAGTAAATACAGGAAGGAGGGTGGAAATTTGTCTTTTTAAAACCTCAGACTTCTTGTCGGGAGCAGAGGGGACGACCAGTGTAAAATCTGCCGTATCAGTTTAACACATCAGAGGCACATTCGCTTCGTTTTGTCCGAATCTGACAACATGCAAAATCAAATCACTCATGAGGATCCATGAATGTTCTATGTAAATCCCTTACGTGCAGAGCAACACTTGCACTCAAATCTTTTTTTTCCCCAATTTAAAAGGAGCTCTTTGTAAGTTTTGCTATTGCTATATTGCCAATGTTAGCACTAACAGCTGTTTACTTACCAGCCTCGGAATATACAAACATTTACATACATTTACAAAACAAGAGGTTACAACACTCCCTCTGGGCAGTTTCACTTCTTCAGGAAAGCCAATTTTAAGTCGTATAAATATGATCTTTCTGGAAAATTTGATAATAATGATCTTTGCAAACTGCCATGGAGCCATGTTCACGATAACTCTTGACCTTTTACGCCTCAGTTTTATTTAGTTAAGTGTTGCAGGAACTGTCTTGTGTCTGTTGCAGTTGTGTGTTTTAGACTCTGTTTAGTCGACAGTCAGTATGATTTCAATAGTCAGGGCCCATTTGGCAGAATACAAACTTACAAATGAATGCGATGTGACTCAGCTGGTGAGGAAACCAGCATGAGATCTCTGTCGTACAGTATACCGCCACAAAAAGTGCGTGTTCTTGGAACTTAAATCACTTTTTACACCAACATGGAAATGCAAGAGTTATTGTAAAGTATAGCACCACTCAGAATACCTTATTGCATTTCCCTTCATCTGTTAGGAGAAGGGAGTCGGAACACTAACATCTGGGCTCAACAGAGTAATGAATCAACAAGCCCTGCAAAAATGTGCTATAAAACAACAGGTTTGCATTCACACTGTGGCCAACAACATGCCACATGTGGCAGATTAACTTCTGTGTTTATTATAAAGTATGGTAACTGGTATAAATGCCAAACAACAGAATCAAAAAGACAGTCAGAAGAGCTGCTGTCAGTGTTTGCTGAGGAGACGTGATGAGCATGTGCACTTACATATGTGGCTGCATCCATTTTCATTCAGCATCTTGTTTGTCTTGTTTGCAGGCACAGTAGGTGGCACTTTACACCAGTGCTGGCGGAGTTTACTGTTTTTCTCCTAGTGGAAATAATGAGCGTCGAGTTTCACTTCTAGTGCAGACTGCCACAGTGTGAACGCAGCATCAACCCTGGCAGTCCCTAAATACACCACATTTCAAAAGCCAACATTATCTACATATATAATACATTTCTTTTTCTTCTAAAGGTTTCTACCACCACACTATACTGTGTGTGCAGTATATTAATATAGCTGTTTTAGGGTTGTTCAAACTTGCCTGAAAACATGAGTGACTGGGCACATATGTGAAATATTTGGCACATATATTGCAAATATAATAAAAAGAAAACAGCTCAAAAAAGGGATATAAAAAGTCCCACTTAAGTTACTGCCCAAGGCATAGAAGTAGCCTTCGCTGCAGTGAGGTCTTCACCATGCTGAGGTTATTATCAGAGGTAAATATGTATTTCTGTTGTTCATCTCAGCTCTGGGAGGGCTACACTAAGGCAATTCAACGGTTGCTAATGCCAAGTCTAAACACAGGGAAATCAAATTATGATACAAACAGTCCATATTAAAACTATGATTCTATTTCCCAACGTGTTACAGCTTCTTCAGGGTAATGTTTAATTGTCTATTGCATGCAAACAAGAGTCAACGGCTAAACAGAGATGAGTGAACCTAACGAGTGGGATTATTATATTTGTGCCTAAAGTAATGTACAAATAACGCCCGTTGTGTTTAATTCGTGGCATCCCATTCTCCAACTGTGTTAGGAAAAGAACTGTAGGGTTGTTGTTAGTTTAACAGCTGAAAGAAGAGACAATTCTTTTTATTATTCACTTTATATACTGTGTGCTAAGAGCTCTGGCAAGAAGTGGCTGCTGTGCAACACCAATACACGTTGTGAGTAAGTTTATCATCTAGAAAAATAACACTTAATTAATATGCATCTTTTGTGAAAGGCCCCAATCTGTAACAATGCACATGGTAAACAAAAACTCATTTGTTATGTCTACTCTCTGCAATTATATTTAACCCCTAAAAATGTAAGCATTCCCGTAAAGAGAACAAGACTTGGGGTAAACATATGTATAGGTGTGTGCAGGTAAAATCAAATCGTATCACAGTCCAGGGCAGAGTGTCTTTCCTCGTCCAACCAAGTACCTTGTCCTTTCCTCATGCGGACAACATGGGGGATGCGTTCATACACAACTAAACAAATAGTTAAATGTTAATTTAACATGCCAGAGATTTAAATCCCCCTTTCAGTACCATGGATAGCGCCAATTGGTCAGCTGTTCCAAAACAATTATTTAAAAAAAATAATCTCACAATGCAATAGCACAACGTTCTGAGACTGTCCCGTAGTCTATCCTGACTGGCCATCGGGAGCTCCAGGTGAAATCCCGGTTGGCCGCCACATTGGTGAACTGGTCAGAAAATACCATCAGAAACATCAGCGACTGGAAATGAGACAATACGTTAGCCATGTCCCAATTCAGGGGCCGCATCCTTTGGAGGCTGCATTTCAAGACCGATTGCATCACAGCGCCGTAACTAGACTGTCCCATTCCACGGCCCAACCTATCCCAAGATTCATTGCGTGTTGGTAATGAATTATATAGCAGCAAACAACAGCGGGGATAGAGCCCGAAGATTACACTTTTAACTGTAAGTATTGGGTTTCAGCTCAGTTCAACAGTACACGGTACAACTGTTAAAACCAAGGGCCTTAAAATCTCAAGTTGTTGTGAAAAAAAAGTTACGTGTTGTCAAGGGGCCACAACTTAGAACACCACGTCCTCTGAAGGACGGTGCCCCTGAATTTGGACACAGCTGCTTACTGCAGCACGTCAGCCCAGAAATAAAAGTCCTGTTATGAAATAAAGGGTTTCCGTCCACTGAAACGCTAGAGGGCTTTTAATTTGAAACAGTTACAGGAAGTTTTGAGTCTTGGTTATGCAGGGCAAACAGGTGCAGACCAATAGCAATAAAGGCCAGTTACCTACTGCAGTTGGGGTAACTAAAGGTCACTGTCACTATGCGAGGAAATACAGTTGTTGAAAACTGTTGTGGATCCTCTGTAAATGGCCCCTGACCACGTCACAGAAACTGTTAGCGCCAAATCATTTTTGAAAGAGCAACAGCCAATGGTAAAGGTCCAACACTCGGCGGTGTAACTTCATCACTCACTCAGTCACTCAGTCCTTTATATGTGACTCCTATCAAAACAATACTCATTGATCTCATTTTGCATTTCATTTCATTGGAAAATACGTGAGGATGAGAAGATTGATTCTCATATCTGAATGCTAAATATGAAGCTACAACCAGCGGGTGGTTAGCTTAGCATAAAGTCTTAAAACAGGGGCAAATAGTTAGCTTGGCTCTGTCCAAGTAAAAAAATAAAGCCAACTAAGACATTAGAGCTTGTTTGTTTACAACCCTTACAATATCCCAACTACTAGTACATAAATTTTCCGTCTTTATGCTAAGCTAAGCTAACCGGCTGCTGGCTTCAGCTTCTTTTTAGCATTCAGACACGAAAGTCACATCAATCTTATCAATCTGTGCTCAATTATCAATTATTAAAGGGACTTTCCCATCATTTTATTTCCCCGTGTACACACCAAAGATCCCCTAATGAAAGATCCGTCCCTGTTCAAATAAAAACTTATCTAAATTACAAAGAACCATTAGAATAATTGATTTCATGCCCTAAAACGTAGAGAAATATGCTAATAAAGCACAAATTATTACTTCTGCTGTAAGGCTATTCAGATCTTTCTTCCCTAGGAACCAATTTATTTACTGAAACTTATAAGGGGCACTAATCGTGTTGCAAGCCAGAGGAATGAGTCACACCTAATGGCCGAAAGTCAGTATGAAGCGATAGGAACCTAATGATTCTTCATGTGGTTGTTAACAACAAACGCCTGTTGTATAAATGTAACTCAAAGCTCTGAATGAGAGCAGCCATAATCAGTCAAAGCCAGGCTCTTGTATTTTTTTTATTTTTTTTTTTATAAATCATTTTTCCCTGATTATTGTAGCAGATACTATCTACCCCTCCAGAGGAAGGCACTATGAATGGTTTGAATGTCCTTGGATTTTCATCAACTGGATTTGACTGATGGCTGGATAATAACGTGCCTGTACATTCCCTACATCGCAAGTCATCCTCCTGATTGAGAAGTTTCGGGGTAACAGTACAAAGCACATTTCCGTCTTTTGTCTATGTATTGTCACTAGCACGCAGTCCATCCTGTCCTCCCTGCCGCCCTGCTCGGCACAGGCCTGCAGACACACTGCGTTTTCATCTCCAGGTCACTGAGTTTATTTGGCGTTACCTTTTTAAACTTGAATTCTTCTTCTGTTAAATTGTGCTGTCCTCCTTTGGAAACCTCCTGCAGCGTGCTAAAGGTAGAGATAGCCCACCCAGTAGACCACGTTGAACAGTAAGAAGGAGGTGGGAAAAAAGACGCGTGAATATGCGTCCAGTTCAAGTAGATCTATGTGGACGCGTCCTTTTCTCCAGGCGCCTTCTTTACACTCCTCAAAGCAGCAGAAGAAGCTCTGACAGTCTTTTCCATCCAGACATTCGTAGACACAAGCGTCCTCAAAGTCCTGCCAGTACATGGAGTTGTTTAAAGCGATGACGGTGTGTGGAGGTCGCACATCCAGGACAGAGTAGTTCTGAGAAGAGGAAGAGACATACAGAAGCACAGGAAGCAAAACTGATTTAATGAACTGAGTTTACATCGTGTTCATCACATTAGTAGGTTTTCTTTCCCTGGTGGAGACCGGATGGTTTATAGGGATTCTTTAAGGGGGAACTTGAAGGCTGTTGACACATGAAAATCGTACCTGTGCATCCATCTATTTCATACGTATCAAGGGTTTTACCTGTCGATATTTTATTTAACCCAAAACTTAAAAAATGAAAGGTGCACACCAGCAATTTGGTGCCAAACCTCCATAAAGGTGACTCACAAACGAGAGATTATAAAAAGAATGATCAAAATTCATGTTTCACTTCTGTCCTGCAGATATTCATTATCTTCCTTGTATTTTCCTTGTAACATGCATCATTCAACTTGTCCTTAACGTGCATGACGGACAAGCTGAAGCATGAATGTCGGGTGTGATCTCTTCTCTGGGCCGGTTCTGGCATATTTGCAATTCAGAGGATCTACACGGCTACACTGACACAGTCATGTGTTTCATCTACTGGTGTAGTCCTGCACAGTATAACACCAACACACTCCAAATACTGCAGCATCAACCTCACAGACCGCTCGTGGTGGCGCTGGTCACTATTTATTATTATTATCCACATTGAAACCGTGACATTACATCATTTGTAATGAAAATTTCACTGCAACACAAGACTAATAATATATTCAGTGCAAAAAAAAAAAAAAAAAAAAATCAACACAAATGGAATAAATTGAGGCAAAGAAACATTTTTTAAACAGGCAACACTACACACCTGATATTCTGTCTGTAATCATGTTCATGCATAAATAAACTGCACCTGTCTCTGTCAAGATTATTTATTTTATTTACATTTTTGCAGCATTAATAAATCAGATACATGAAAATTAGGCCAGAACATCCTGAGTACTGCACACATGTAAATAAAGTATTTTAGATATTAACCACCGTTTGAAGATATATGTTGTAATCTGAGAAATTCCTCACAATCGTTTGCAAAATTTCTTCTTTGCACGGCAGGGCAAAGTAAAGCTTCTCGATCTGCCATTAACACATAAATCCTGCATTGATTGTTAATTTAATGCAAACACGAACACAAACACTTTTTTATTTATGATGGTGGTATGACTTATCTTTACTGTATTTCATTTTTAACACAATGACAATAAGCTAAATGAGCTAATTTCCATGCTAACATCGGTCACTGCTCAGTCTGCAGTGCATTGTAGAGACTGGAACGATGGTTTCATGCACAGAACATGAGGTGACAGTCCCTCAGATGTTGACGAGCTACAGACGAACTGTTTGTCTCGCTGACACTGATGCAGTGTCCCTTAAAATAGTAACAGTCTTATCAGAGCAGCGTAAAAAGGGCAGCATCACATCATCTCAACCCTGAAAGGTTTTTTCACTTCCATCTTGTGATAACACACAGATCTACTCTTTGTGTGTGACAGTAATCCTGACATCGACTCAATCTACATTTGATCATTTTCTTACAAGTTCACTAGGGTTGATTTTAAGGAAAAACTGCTGCGGGAATATTTAATAGATCTGTATAAAACTGATTGAAGGCAAACTTACTGATCTTTTAGGTTCCATGCAGCTGGGTCTTCTGGTGCTGTACGAGTAGTAATTTAAAGTTGCGTATTCCATCAGAGCGGCAAAGACGAACAGGAAGCAGACGGTGACGAAAAGGTCCATGGCGGTGACGTAAGACACTCGGGGTAGTGACGTCCTGGCCACGGTGCTGAGAGTCGTCATCGTCAGCACTGTGGTTATACCTGAAGGTCAGAGGAAAGGACAAACTCATGTGAGGAACTGCTGACACACAGTAATGGAAAAGGTTTGTGCTGGATCTATTTTCAGTTTGATCGTGACACTGAACTGTATTTAAAGGTCATATTTGTATGTTTTCCTCTGCCTGAAGAAGCTCATAGTTCATTAATACCAACACCACACTCCTCTGAATGATTCTGCTCACTGTGTTTGATGTAACATCGTCACCTTTGAGATTTAAATGTCCGGAGAGCGTGCACAAAGAACGCACAAAATAAAGTCTTGTGACTCGTTTGAGTGCAAAATCAAACTTGACTTGAGTGCTCAAAATGCAACAGTTCACCAGAGGACGAGTCAGATGAGGATTACACAAACCTAATGGATCCGGGTCGGTCGAGGCATTGACAGGTCTGCGTTGTGTTTGACTCAAGATCATTCATCATCACTTTAAAACTCTGGAACTCATCAAACAACAGGAGATACAACCATACATACAGCTGTCTTACTGAGGATTAAAGATAATAAAATAAATCCACACTTGAAATACAAAGACGTGTTTGGGATTGTTTGGCCTTGGTGGACGTGTGTTCCTCTACTCAATGTCATTCTAGTTCGAAATGTGCAAAAATACAGAATGTGTACAATCCCATCAGAGAGAGATGATGCCACGAACAACTACAACTATGTGTACACGGAAAACCAGAAATGTTCATTCCACATTCTTTCCATCAGAATTATAAAAGCCGTGCGTACGCATGGTTCCTCTTTATAAATCTCACTCTTTGAGAAAAATGTGCATAAGTTTCATTTCCACTCCCACAATTAGCCATAAATGGATGAAGACACTCCCTCAATCAGTTGGTATAAATAAAACACTGTCTGTGCCACAAGTGATCAGACACAGTGAAGAAAGACGAGGAAGAAGAAGAATTTCACTGATTGTGAAACTGAGGTGAAAACGCGCATCAGTTTACTTTAGTACAATCACTCTGATGTAAAGTCGTGTTTCACCCTGAGCGTCATTTATTGGGACTAGAGTCTTAATGAGGCTCCACAGGCTCTAACACTGTGATTAGTCAATATCTAAACAGTATGAAACAGTTCACAGAAGGATTCACAATAAATAATGAGAATATTAAACGAAGCTGAAGGAAACGTTGAGCACAAACGCAAATTATTTCTGTTTATAGATTGTAAAATTTTAATTGCTTTGTAAACAGCTAAACTTATGATAAGAATGAATGAAGCTCTGTGAGGTTGTCTTGGTTTATTTTGTATTTTCACTTCACTGTAACTTGGCTCGCTTTGGAAAACATTGTGTTTATAAAAAACAATTTAAGTACAGGAAATGGCGTACGCGTGGTTTTTGTGTGTACGTCCAGAACATTTAAAAACAACCTGAATGGGAAAAATTCTAAAAACTTCTTTTTGCAGTGACCAGTATGAATATTTTAATCGTAACAGATTTGAAAACAAACAAAAAACGAGAATTTAAGATACATTATAATGTACAGTTTCTTCTTGCTTTGCCTAATAGAACATTTTTATTTTTATTTTTATTCCGGTTTTTTCACCTGAAACGACAAACTGTGAACATGACAGTGATATATTATAAATGCTTCATCTAACGCCACCATCAGGTCAAAATTTTAATTCGTCCACAACTTCGTATTTTAGTGCTAATTACCAAATGTTAGCAAATGTTAGCGAATGGTGCTAATCTATTGTAAACTTCCCTCCTAAATAACAGCACGTTAGAAATGTCATTGTTAGCATTTAGCTAAAAACTGCTGCTGTGTCAAACTGCAGCCACATGGAGACCCTCTTCTTTGTGTCCAAATTCAGGGGCCGCCTCCTTCGGAAGACACAGACTATGAATCATGGGATAGGTTGGACCGCAGAGGAGCCACCCGTTGGATCCTTTGTTGCCCAGGGAAACGAAGCAGAGCTGCCTTGTTGCGCTGCTGTGACGCAAATAATCTATAAATGCATCCATCGAAGGATCCAGCCTCCGAATTGAAACACAGTTGAGTCTTAATAATATTGTTACGGTGGAAGTGTTAGCACACAATTGCCTGGTTATTATTATTTCCTATTCGTACTCAGTTTCTGGTCACCTGACAAATGTAAGTCCAATATCCCCTCTCCTCCTTTCTTTGTCTCCACTGACTCCTGAGGGAAATATCTGCATCTTTAGTTGCTGAACGCTCCAGCAGCTAGCTGGAGCGTTCAGCAGCTAACTTCGTCAGTTTGGCCGTTTGGTGCCTGGCAGGTCGGGTGCAGCGGCTTATCAGAGCTATTTCACTGAAAACAGTTCCCGATGAGAGCCGTGAGAGTGAACAGTGAAAGTGTCAGTCCATGAAACCAAAACTGTGAGCACAGTCCTCTGATCCTGGAAATTTGGGGATTTGGTAGAACTGCAGGGTGCAGTTGATATAAAAGTACTGATCAGTGCAGCTTTAAGATTTTCCCTCATTTATGGTGAAAGTAACCGTAGCTTTAACTTAACGTTGGCACCTAGCTGTAAAGTTAGAAGCCAATAATTGGATTTTGACTAACAATAAGACGTTGATTGATTGACAGACATGAGAAAAAAAAAAAAAAAAGAGCAGGCACCACAGTATAATTTCATTCTCCCCTCTCTCCCTCCTCCATCAGCATTATACAGATAAGAAAAAAAACAAAACATCTGCCACTGTTTCACCGAGGTTCCCATGGTAACAAGCCGGTCTCATCTATTTCAGGCGGACATCTCACACTTTTCCTTTAGCCTCTGCTTGCCACAGTGATTACCCTTACCTGCCTTCTGCTGATGCCGTGGCACAGATTCTGTAGTTTTTGCTCTCGACAACAGAGCGAGCAGGTTTGCAGAGAGGGAAACTCTCAAACGCATTTATCTTCACTGACGGCTCAATCTGGATGAAATTGTTGTTGAGGCTCGGTATAAAATGTGTGAAACATACCGTGGATGGTTCAAGGCCCAACGTATGTGATGGCTTTCCAACAAAACAAAAAAAACGTGTGTGTGATATCTTGCCACAGGGATAAGTTAGTACGATATCTATTTGTTATTTTGGCTCAAAGCTGAAGTCAAAGGTTTGCTGCCCTCGGCTGACTCACCCCGATCCATTTCCACATGTGAAGTGCTTCATCTTCACTCCCACACTTGCCCCTGCACCTTTACAATCAGCCCGCATCTAAGATCCATTCATTATCTCCATTCTCTCTCCAGATCTGCATGCAATTGATCCAGATGCTTTTAATAAAACGTAACTGATTAATATCACTCGTTATTCATTTACTACGTCTGTCCCTTTCATCGGTGGTGAACGCACAGTATCGAGTCGACAACACAAGCAGCAGGGCACAGTGCGACACAGCGGCTCACCATCGAGAGAGGGTGCAACACATTAGTCGTTTCCATTAAGGGCTGCGTACAAATCGTGCATCCATACAAATTATTACAGAGCCAAAAATATAAATTCTTAAATTCTTCTTAAGTCTAAAACCTCACTCAGACATGTGAATGACGGATAAAATGTAAACAGACAGACAAAAAAAAGAAAGAAAAAAAAAGACTGAAATCAATTACCTTCACCAAAATGCTCCACAGGACTGCAACAACAAAAATAGAGAGTGTGTTCAAAGGAGGGAAAAAGCACAACAAAACAGAAGAAGCAGATGGAGCGACTCAAGTTAAGTGGCAAACAAATATCCACGTAGGGCAGGTAACATCATGCAAAGATTCAAATGCACATTCAAAGCCAAAACACGATTAAAATGTGAAAATGGAAACTCAAAAGTTGGACTTTCAGACACACACACACACACACACACACACACACACGCTCCTGTTGCGGTTTGGATACAGCTGATGGAAGTCCACAGTACCTAAAGCCGTTCTGGCTGGTGTGGCGTCTTTTTTGATCCAGAAGGAAACCCAGGAGAGGACCACGGTGAGGATGCAGGGGATGTAAGTCTGGATGGTGAAGTAGCCCATTCTCCTGCTCAGGTCAAAGTACACCGTCATCACCACATAGTCCCCTGTGTAAAAGACAACAGAGCTCCATGTGAAACTTTACACACACACACACACACACACACACACATGTCTGAGTTATTAATTAATTAAGTACTTATCTAATTCATATTCATTATGCAGGATTAAGTGTGTACTGATGGTATTAATCCACTGTATATACTGAAATAAACTTCCTCACCTTCATGACAAATGAGCAAGATCCATGAGCTGATGAAGCCCATGAGTTGAGGCTGAAAGCTCCTCAATCGAGCGAGTGAACCTTGAGGTTTTTGGTCAAACTACTACCTCCAAAAGGTGAAGAGGGACACTGTGTGAGCTTGTGTCATTAGATATGATTACAGTTGTGTTAGGTGTTGCATGTATTCGGATGAGACGTCATAATTGCTGTTACACGCCGACGACCATACGACAAGACGTGCCACATGGGCCCAGCGGGTTAAAGCTCAGTCCTGCATGTGGTTTCGACTGGTTTCCAGTGTAAAGGTTCAGATTCATGAGAAGTCCTGTATGCAAATGATATATAACATTTCTAAAAATACAAAGAGCCGAGTCAGCTCTATGCAGATCACACACAGCTTCCTCTCTTGTAACCTGTTTCTCTTTCTGCAGCTGGTTTCAGTTATTGTTATTATTACTCTTAGGAAAACCAAACTGCATTACAGACATGGATGGTATAAGTTGTAGAAATCGATCCACAGAGAAGCTTTCTCACGCTCTGACAAGTTATGTTTTTGATGCGCACAATAAGTGAAAATCCACACGTGGTCACTTTGTTTGCTCCAAAGACGTTCCACTCAACACGTTGACGTTATAATCTCTACGATGTTCATAAAGTCAGAGCCAGTTTCTGATACAATATTTACATTCTGTAATTGCCTCTATACATTATATTGTAGTTTTCATTGTTCACGGCGCCGTCTGCCACTCCGCACTGGCTTCAAATAACACAAGGGATTCACAGGAAACTTAGCGATACTGTTTTCACATCAGTGACATCAGCCTGTTCGCTCTCCTTCACACAATATCAGGGCTGCATTAAGTTGCTGCTAATGCTAACCATAGACTGTAAATAAAGACAGATGTAGCCTCTGTGTCACGTCACCGACGGGTTTCTGAGGAGCGGTTTTTGAAGCTCAGAGTGGGCTGCTCTGCCGTCGCCATCTTGGCAGTGTCTGACTCCGGCTGAGTCCCACCTAATTCAAAACCGGGCAAAGAGGTGGGGGGCGTGTGTGGGGGGGGAGCCGAGACTTGCGCTCACCCATCTGTCACTCAGAGCAGCAATTATGCAAAACTTTAAGCCTTATGAAACAGTCCACAAAGAATTCACTGTGCAAAACAAATGAAATCAGATTGTGGCTGGTAGCACGGTAGCAGTGCGTAGGCAGGGAAGTTCCTTCTCTTCGAACCAGTTTGGCTGCACATCTGTGTCAGACCTTTTTAGAAACTTGTTGCACAATAAAGGAGTGAATGAATGAATGAATGAATTAATTAATGAATAATAATGAACTGAAACCAATGCTGCTTCTTATCTTAGCTGTGCTGATGCCGAATATCAACACGTTTCCAGCTTATTAGCAACGTGTTTGCAAACGGTTAATTGGAGAAGACACAGTGCTTCTTACCTGCTGTGGTCTTTATTATGTCTGTCGTGTTTCTCAGGCCCATAAAATCAAACTGGTAGAGACGCCAGGACTTCTGGTCAGCCGCCTCCACAGAGTTCTTCCTCCACTTGTAAATCATCTCATCTCGTGGGTATCCATCTGCAATTACACAGAGCATGTGTATGTGTGTGTGTGTGTGTGTGTGTGACCCCTGGCGCTGCATGGCACATCCTAATGATGGATACCCAGTACAGACAGACCTAGGGCCACCCAGAGCAACATTTGTCTCGTGCTGGAGGCTGGCTAATGAAAAGACAGTCTGGAATGAAGACAGAGGCAGAAGGAAAGTAGATTAAATGAAAGCTTTGGTTCAATAATGTACTGAATCCATCTTGATGTTGGGCCTGACCTTCACATGATGTGCACGGAGCCTGGGAGTGCTTTTACAATCGATCATGTGAGGTTAATGATGGGTTAATGATGCCATTTCTGCTTTGGTGTCGCACTTGCCTGAATCTTTCCCGTCTTAAACAGACACATAATCATTTCGAGTAGAAAAGCTAACAAAGTTATGATCTTGGCTGATAGCAATTTGATGTAATAGGCTTTCAATTAAGAAAAACATTAACTGTGAGGAGGATGTTACCCAAACTACTAATTGTTTTCAAACATGCTTGATGAATGCTTTCCATTAACATTTGCCACACTTCCCTCATTTGCTATTAATGGCATCATTAAAGATTCAGCAGTTGCTACTCGAATTCAAAATGCTCAGAAAATAATAGTTTACTGTCGACAGCAGCTCTTACACCGAGCAAACGTTTATGAATGGCAACAATGCATGGGCAATATTCTGTAAGACATTTGCATAAAACATTAGTAATGGGCTCACGGCACGATTCATGATGCATTCATGAGCTAACCACATTCAGAAAATGTAATAAAACGTTAGCCTAACAGAAAGAGACAATACTTTTCAGAATAAAAGCGGTGTTTTTCACTTACCTGCTAGACAGCAGGTAGAAACTTAGCAATATGGTTTATAGCTATACTTTTAATATCTCTGGTCATATTTGGCAATTTTTTGTAATGCTGAAAAACAATAAACAGGGCTGATTGATTTTTGCATCAGGTATTTAATTGACTGAGCTAGCTAGCAACTAACATCTGGTTAACATCATCTGTAAATGATTATTGTTATCATGTATTATTATCACGAAAATATTGATATCCCAAAATAAAAATAGACATATAAACAATGATTTTTTATCACTATTGAAAATTGCTAGTCATAAAGTTAGTCAAATTACGTTCATACTGGCCATCAAGAAATCCCTTCCCAATGCGTTCCAATGTAAGTGACAGGGACAAAGTTCACAGGCCGCCTTCAGTGTAGAAAATGTCTTCCTAAGTTTTATCTGAAGTTATAAGTTCTTTAACAGTTTAACATTGCACTTGCTTATTTTACTGGGGGGGATGAACACCATTCTTCCAAGAGATATCCCCTGATTTGGTGTTATGGCGGTGGTGGTGGAGAGCGCTGTCTAACACGTCGGTACAAAATCTCCCACAGGTGTTCAACATGGGTTGAAGATCAGGTCACTGTGAAGGCACTGACCCCTCGTGCCTTATAGGTGGAGGCATTGTCATCTTGTTTCTCCATTAATTTCTCACCTGTCTGTAGATTCTCACCTGATCTGAAGAACTCCGACTCCTGAAACCTCAGTGCCATGAAATACATTAGGAAGCGGTCTCTTAATGGCCAGTACGGACAGGAGGAACGACTACAGCTCATAAAACCTGCTTCAGTGTTCACACTGGCACTTGACATGTTTGTTTCAAGACGGACTCTGTGACTCAGTTACTTTTGATTGACTGTTCATTCACTGTGAAGTTGTGAAAAACTGCAAGTTCTGATCAGTATCCGATGCACAGACACAGACACATGAAATCTGTCATCTGTATTGTTTTCCCCTCTCAGTCTGTTGTACTATAGCTCCCGTAACTGCACTTTAATCATCTGCATGTTTTTGTCAGTTATCTATTTAAAAAAAGAAAAATAGGCCAGTGGCTCAGTTTGGCAATTTCAGCAGAAATATCAAGTGTAAAAAGGGATTTTCACGACCGTGCAATGGAAAGATTCATTTGCAGCAGCAGGAAATTGGATAGCTCTCAGTAATGACCTGAAAATGAAAAGGTCTGATTGTCCAAAAACGTGTAATACTGAGTAAACAGCCTTATGTCACTGAGAGTTACAAAGTTCCACTTCAAAATGTACAGTGATGGAGATGTGTGTGTCTCTAACAAGAACTGAGCCGAATACATTATTCAAAAAACAAGACTCTAACAAGTAGAGTTAGAGAGTTTGAGTCAGAGAGCATGTATTTCAGATTAATATTTGTGTTCATTATGAATATTTTATCCAGTCACAGGTGCTGCAAAGACAACGTGGCAGGAACAGCTGCTACTGAGTCAAACTTTCCTTTAGCAAAGTCTCTAACGTGTTAAAGTTCAGTGGAATAGTTTTTAAACTGCTGTAAACCTTAAAGGCGGAGTAAACGATTCTGGATCGAGACTCTTGGAAACAAATACACCCCTCCCTTTAAATGCTCCTTCAGAAGCTCCGCCTCCAAAATTCATGGATGCGCATTGCCAAGACAAAGACACAATGGCGGAAACCAGAGCGTCTTTATAATATAAAATGTAAAATGAAATGAAATAAACACAAAAACGGCATCCAAAACACAACAGAGTAAAAACTAGCAAGAGTTAGTTGTTTAGATTGTTTTTACAAAACTACGGTAACAAGAGGAGAGGACTGGTTTGTAGCTAAGCTAACAGAGAAGGTAACGTTACCTGGCAAACACACACACAACACAACCTAATATAGAAACACGCTGCGAGTAGCACACACAACAACGGACGAACAACAGGTTCAGGTGCATCCGAGTGCGTCCCCCATCACTCTGTCGTGCCCCCTGGAGACACTTCCGTTGTGTTGTGTTTGCAGTGTGTTTGTGTATGTTGTTGTGTTGTGAGTATTTGCAGCATGTGTGTCGTCAAACTGATGAAGATATTTCCTGAATTTGCTTGTGTGTTTCGTCTATTTGCATGCGTACGGGCCGCCGTACTACATACGGCTATACTGTATATAGATTATGAGAAAATGGGCCCCTGCACACAGACATGTAAAAGCCCCTCCCCCTCATACAGAGAACAGGGCGGTGTGGAAGGCGTACTCACAGCTGGAGAAGATGAGCGGACAGGAGTGCTCGTCCATCGGAAAGTTGTGCAGCTGCAGCTGGCATTCTGCGTTTATCGTCAGCCTGCAAAGAAAAGAGTGAATCTTTACTGATGCGCTGCTGCATGTAAGTCATTTAATGTGTAACTAAAAGGTTTGTTTTCATTTTATCCGAACTGTCAAAGTGTCATACCTTTAAGATTAATTTGCATTGGCCTCACACAGTCCAAATAATGGGACATTAACGTGAGCATGTCCTACAGGGGGTTGGGGAGAATTCCCTTCAAGGCCTTTTGTTGTCAATAAATGTCACAGACGCTTTAACCTCAGATAGAAAACATCACAGTCAAATATCTGACCGTTGATCCGCTTCTATCTGTGATGTGCAGTGTATATTACAGCTGAAACGACTGCTGCATTAACCACTTAGTCAATCAACAGAAAATGAAAGGAAGCTGTCGAAGGTGTTGACCACGAGTAGAGCTTTGAAGCTGTGCCTTGATGAGTGAGTTTCCGTATTTTGTTCGGATTTTGTAGATGTTCGTAGATGTTGTCCCCACACCGCTGATCGACAGGTGGGGCAAATAAGGTAAATACCTTCCTGCAACATCGTTCCTACACACTGCATTAAACGACAGTCATTATGTTGTAGCCAGTTGTAAATATGACATGTAGGTTCTGTGAGCTAAAAGCTAGCGGGACCACAAACAACCTGCAGATGCAGTTATGAAGCTAAAATGTTGCTGATCTTCAATTAAAAACCAGTTTATGAAGCAAATATCTCAGCGGGAAAAGAAGCTACAGGAAGCGTTGAGGTACAAATCATCCGACCGAGGAAAACAATCGAGACAGGAAAAACAAAGCGGGTTGAAAGCAGCGTTCTGGTTGTTTGAGTAAAGACTGCATTTTCATTAAAAATGAATGTGCAAAAAAAATGTAGCTCCCTCATTTGTTTGAATGGAGCCAATCAGAACGTGGTTCTACTTCTGCTGCAACTGGCAACGTCCAATCAGAAACCTGCAGATATCTGAGTTTTGAAGAAGCCTTTAAATTCACAAATCTGTTACTCAAACTGGACATTTTGTACTTTTTGTTTTGCGCTAATTAGCACACATTAGCAATGATACATTAACATGCTAAACTAAGATGGTGAACGCAGTAAACATTGACATCAGCATTGTTGTTGTGAGTATGTTAGCCTGCTAACGTTAGCATTTAGCTCAAAGTAACGCTGCACCTTCACAGATGTGCTAGCATTGTCTGCTCAGCTACAAGTGACAGATAAAATCCACATCAACAGTTCCAAGGAAATTAGAATAATAATTTAATGTAATGTTCAGGAGTCGACACAGAAAAACAAAAAGAAGAAAAGAGAGGGAAGAAAAATCTCTGCAGTTGTGGTACGGTGTTTGAACCTCATTAAAGCCTGGAATTCGGACAATACTATGAATGTGGGTGAGGCACAGATATCACAAAATGTCATCTCTGATTACTCCGGCCAAGCCGATGCAAAATTAATGCCAAATGACATTTCATTCTCTTTCTCTCATGTCATCTACGGATATTACTCCTCAAAGTTTGCGTGCTCCTGAAGAATCAATATCAGTGGAAGTGTGTGAGGGAGGATCTGCCTGGGTTTTGTTTGTGACTTCACTTGTTCCACATTTGTGTCCTTGCAGAAACATTACAGTCCCTCAGCTCCAGCACCAAGTAATACAGATCCCACATGCACAACACATTCTTCACGGTAAAGTCATAACTAACGGTATCAGTTAAACATCAGGACGTGTCTTAACATTCAAACATAAAGGACTGCCAAAAAGAATGAGGACAGTCGAAAGATGCTCATTACTGAAGGAGCACTTTATACTAATGTGGAGTGCTCCAATTACAAAGAGTGCTTCGGGGCACGTGGGTGGCTGCCTCAGTTAATTGGTCTTGAAGCTTAAGCAGGCAGTTTGCACTTACAATTGATAATAACAGGGGCTAATTGCTTTGTGGTGCTCTTTTTAGGGAGTGTTTGCATCATAAATTGTCTTACATACATTCCTTAGTGAATAAGAATAACACTGCTCGAGTCTCAGACAATATAAACGGATTGGTTGATTGATAAATCTCATTGTTCCCGGGGGGGGGGGGATTTGGGGGAAGTAATTATAGAAACCATGTTGAGAAGCTTTCAGATAACAGGCTGCATCATATCCCATAAATTACACTGTATATTGAAATCAGACTATATGGTTACACTACTTACACGTTTATGGAGCCAAAAAAAATCCTATTTAAGAATGTAATTATTTCAAGTCTCGTTATTCTCCCCAACCCATAATAGCCCATGGCTGTTTCCGTACTGTATATTAACACTACAGATTAGATACTTCTGCAATTAGTTCACAAGAAATGTATTTTATCTTGCACAAATAGAAAATGACAAGACTAGAAATGTGTATATTGAAATATAAATCACTGTTTTTAACTTGATCTTTTGTTTTCTACGACGTGTCTGGATTTACTCCGTCACTGTGATATAAAACACGAGATATAAAAATAGAATATAGGAAACGTAAAGACTATACAAAAGGGTTAGACACTCTGTGTGACTGCCGCAGCTCACACACACATTATGCTATCTGGATTGTGTTTGAAGTATACCTCATTATTCTGGCTGATATTTCTACAGTACGTCTAAACAACTAATTTGGATGCGACTCAAAAACCTATCCACATCATTGTTCTCTAATTTATGGGGCTGAACAAACAGACCTGAGGCCAGGTGTATAAATGCTGCGTATATGTATGTGGTGCATATCTAATTTCCCACAGGTAAACTGCTCTTTATAAAAACTGATTCTGCAGTGAGAGTGTGAGAAACTCAGAGATACTTCAGACCACGTTCGCACAAATGTTTCCAGTAGTAATCCCTCGGTCACACGACAAGGTGCTGATGGAGTAAGTACAGGCGAGAGACAGCTAATAATAAATTGTTATCAGCCAGTTTCACCAATTGTATGATTTTATATAATTATTTTTAACGTGTGAAATGTCTATCACATGCACATTAATTACTTTTGTATGATCAATCACTTTGCAAAGACCTGGGCACTTTGAACTACAGCTGCAACTGATGACTATTTTCACTTTTGATTAACTTCCTCATTATTTTCCAGATTACTCAAATTAACTGTTTTGTCAATAAAAATGCAAGAAAATTGTGAAAAACTCTCGTTATAATTTCCCAAAGCCCAAAAGTTTTCTCTAAGTTGCTTGTTGTATTTGACCCACAGCTGAAACCGCATCGATTCTTCTGCTGGTCTTTTCACTAGCTGCGTTTCCATTAACCTACTTAATGTTAACTACACAAACGTCATGGAAACAAAAACATTAATACACTCATGAGGTGGTTCCTCTTTTTCCATATTTAAGTCACATGACATGACATTAGTAGCCACACGGCATCCAAAAACATGGCAGACTGTTATCTCACAAAAATCAGTTATTGCGATTGATGCAACCGTCCCAATGCTGGAAATCCGCCGCCATGTTTAATTGGACTGTTATCATCAGATGAAAAAGACTCAGTTTAATGGCATAACATCACTTAATGAAACACGGACCATCACAGTTGTGTTTTGTGGACTTCTCTAAAAAAAAAATTGCTTCTATTTTGCACAAAACTGCATCAGAAATGCGGCTGCTGAAAGACTGGTGGAGCAGGCACAAGAACTGGTTTTAAAACGTATAAATAAGGCGGTAAATGCACATCTGTTTTGATTTCTGTGTTTACCTCAGGGTGTAAAGTATCTTCCCATCATTCCATATCCGGAGCAGCTGGTTGGGCATCGTAATCCAGTGGGAATCGGCCTTCTTGGAGTTTCTGAAGATGGTGTCTGGTAGCCAAATAAGTCCGACCATATTGCTGTTCAAAGTCAGTATTTTCATTGTGCTGTTGTATCTGAGACGGCTGTCTGTCCACGTCTGGGCGAAGATGATGTCGATTTGGTATTCCTGACAAGAGAAAAACCAGAAGACATGTGAGTGGATATATAGTGCAGGATCGTTTGGTGCAATTTCATTTCTAATGGTGTCACTAATGCTGTTCTGAAAAAAGAGAGAACTACTACTCAAGAGCATTTGATTTTCTTTTGAAATGACAGCGAATATACCATCTCTCATTCATCACTCTCACCATCGAGAGCATTTATCATTTTACTTGTTGTCTGGCCCGTGTGTCGAGCACAGACCTCACCTGGCACCTCTCAGTGATGGGCTCCACTCACCACTGTGCTGCCAGCCAACTCTCCACGGCTGCAGAGCATGTGCCTTAAGCTCCTGTCGGCACCTCAGCACCAACTCCATTTTGTTGACAGAAATGATAAACGAACCAAAAATAATCTACTAGGTTTTAAAAAATATGACCAGGTTAATGTGCATGCAGAGTTGCATTGCAGCCATGGAGAATATGCAGAGAGTCAGATTACTGACTGGACAGTAACATGTCTGAGCAGCGCACACGTGATATTAGACAGTAAATTTTAGACATTCATCAATTAAATTTCCATTTTGAGATTATGTTACAATTTCATAATGTAAAATCAATGATCTCGTCCTGTCTTGTTTTTTTTTTCTGCCTGCTGTATCTGACATTTACTGAATCGTCTGTAAACATGACAAGACTTGCAGATCACAGCCAGGCTGGTGGCTCTGTGTGCCAGACAATCCAAGAGAGCATGAAAAAAAAGGTGATTTATACAGAAAAGATTCCAGGCCTGGAAACCAAAGTCCAAATACAGGAACACAAGGTGAAGCAAGGACACTCAAACTGAAGTAAAACAGAAAATCTAAACACAGGGAAACGAACAGGACGAACTGACAAAGACAAGTAGGAGCACAGAGACTAAAGAGACAGAAGGGAGGCAAAGGTGACTGAACACAGGTGAAACACATTAGGGCGGGGCAGACAATCACAAAGGAGGGAAACGACACAAAGACAGGAAGTAAAATAACCACAAGACACAGGGGAAGGGAAGTAATACAAAATAAAACAGGAAATGAAACAAAGGTCCAACCACAAGAATCCAAAATGTGTTCAAACATAAATTGTCCATCACGCCAAACCATGACACTGAGGTTGTAGTTGTGCTGTTTACCATGTTCACCATTTTAGTTTAACGTGTTAGCGTGCTAATATTTGCTACTTTCCATGATGGTGCTCATTGAAAAGTCAGAGGATCATCGGTCATTAGGGTTAACGATCAATTCAGTAGTTTTCAACCGACGACAAAGAGGTGGAGGGACTGACAGATCCACGGATCAACAGTGTGTTTTTTATTAACATAAAAGTACTGACATGGGACCAGCCGTCACGCCGCTCACACGTCCTGCTGCTGCGGTTTCTATTGTCACATAGAAATCTGAAGGCAAACTCAGTTCAGTTATCCATCCATGGTTCTCACACTTCAACCGAGACATAATTCTCGAGCTTTAGTGGTGCTGCTAGGCTAATTCTGTCACCTCTGCATGGAGCCACGCTAGCTGTCTTTCACTTCCAATGTTTATGCTAGGCTAAGCTAACTGGCTGTTGGCTCCTCCTATAGATACTTTCCAAACAGATGGTCATTTCCATTCTCTTATCTAACTCTTGGCAGGAAAGCAAATCAGGATATTTCCTAAACTACTCTGTTAAATACACATGAGAAATACTGTATAGTTTACCCACGTCAAATCCTCGCCTGACAGATTATCTGCAAAACCAAAGCTGGTTTCAAGATCCCACTTCGCCTGTTGTTAGAAAGGCATTATTATCTCATTCATTCAGGTCAGAATGAGACGATCCAGTAGACTGCTGTTGTAGAGTTGACCTGCCGGTGTCTATTTCTCAAGGTCTGAAACCAAACACATATTCCTCTTTGTCATATTCAGGCTGTTTTGCTTGTTTTGTTGACTGGGACTCACCACATACAGGTGGTTTACCCTCGGATTGTGTTAGTTACTGGTACTCGTGGTGATTTTAGCACCTTGAGGTGTGAAAAACAGTGAGAAGTCGATCGATGTTGGTCACACCATTTCCCATGAGTAAATGTACATCCTCCACATACGTCCGGGGGGTTTGTTGTAAGGCTCCTTGATGCAGACGCATGCAGCCCTTCCTGCTGTGACATAGGAAGACAGTGCGTCATACAGTGTGTTGCCCTGTAGCCTGACAGTTACAGTAGCTGCTTATATGAACTCATACCTAAAATGATGATCCTGTTGAGAAGAGTAGACTTTATAATAGATTATTAGTGAAAACAGGCTAATTGGGCATTTTCACACAGCAGTGAGTTACTCTGTAAAACATCTGCAGCTCTTTAATTTGTTTTAGACGTGTACCAGGGTTGTGATTAAAAGAACCACTGACTGCTGCTTCACATTAATTGCACACTAGATGCAATTTAATGAGGGAAATAACTGCTCCATTAATTGTGTATAAGAACATATGTAGCTACTTATAGCTAGTTATATACGCCACTATGTAAACAACGCCTATTTTGCGTCAACAAATTAAAAAAATTACGCAAATAAGAATGACTAGCCCCCAGTTTCTAATCTAACTTTCCTGACAGTGGTGCTGCTGTGCAAGCTCAGTGGGCCGCAGATGCAGCTGGGTTTCTTAGGGTCCTCTTTAGCAACAATACACATGAAGATGTAGAGTATAATGAAATTAATAATAGTCTGCCCTCCTCCCCCAACCCACATCTTTTCGTACCGCTGGCTGCCACCGCCTGAAATGCATTTGACCTTTTTACCCAGTCTCTGCACCAGTTTGAATAACTCACCAATTAGAATGAAGTCTATAATCAAGAGAACCACTGGGTGCTCATGACCTTTAATTGTGTGGAGCTCAGTGGATTTGAAAAAAAAACTGAACATAATGTAGGATTTAATGACCAGTGGAGGAGAAGTGCTGCAAATCAAATAAATAGAGCTGCAGCAATCACATTTAGAAATAGTGAGTTGCAGATGCAGGGTGAGAGGTAAAATCACAAATAACAAACACACCTAAATTTCTAGCTTTGTGATCTCTTGTTAATTTCATAACATAATGATTTTAACTATTCTGAAAGAATATCGACCTAACTCCCCCTCCCCCGCTGCTTCCAGCTGCTCTGAGCCACTCCAGCAGACTTCGCTGTGAAGAAAATGGGTCTTTCACCTGAAATGCCTCAGAGGAGCTTCTATATTAAGGCTGCTGATCCAGAGGTACGGTATGCACTCACAGTCAAATCAAAGATACTGCTGTTCGGTAGAAATGGACCCCACGTGATATAACTGGAGTGTAGAACATTTTTTCCTCTGAGACTTGCACATCTGACAGGTGCTGCATGGAAATACCACCTGTATTGTTAAAGTGAGGCTCGTTTTAGTGGTAGAAGACTGAGACATACAACTATACAAGCACGTCTCCAAAATGTTGTGTGTTTTCGGTCTGGAGTTGTTTCTTCGTGGTTTGGGCCTGGCCCCTTAGCTCCATTTAAAGTTCCTCTCCAGACGTGTTTTAAACTCTGTAAAAACCCTCTGCAGTGATTCATATTTTGTTTAACATGGTTTTTCTTTTTCTTTCAAAAAAAGAAAGAAAACGGGGGCTGGAAGCTCAGCTACTCTTACTTCCTCACTGAGAAATCTGGATCAGGACTTGTGCCCCGCCCACCACCTGCTGGCTCCAGGTGGACAGGTGAAAGAGCAGAGAGTATGAAGATGGTGAGAGGAGGAAACATCAGAGAGACTCAGCCACATGTTTGAGCCTCAGTCAGACCCAGACTCAGAGGAGGAGTCTGAGACCAGAACCAGAGACTAGCAGAACCGTTAGCGCAGTTAGCATCTTATTAGAATGGTTAGTGTAGTTAGCAGAGCAGTGACTGCTTTGTTGTGACATCACAAAGTTCCAGAAGTCCTGACGGCTGGTTTTAAGGCTCAGTTTCTGAATACAGGCTGTGTGCATTTCTCTGTGGACTGAGGCTTTGATACTTTCACAGTATTAATATAGAAGCGCCTTTAAACATATGAAGCGAGCACCATGTCATACTGACTCCGTTCCAGATCTGAATTAGTAGTTATCAGATTGTGAATGAGGCTTTCTTACTTCGCAACCAGAACCTGGAAGTTCTTGTTTCACTTGGGCTGAAACTTGCAGTTCCATTTCACAGCAGGTTTTTCTCATTTTACTGTCAACACAAAACTTCTTCCGCCACCCTCTGTGATCCAGTGTGTGTTTACTCTCTATAGATACAGACATGAGACGAAATGAAATATTTAATTCCGTCATTAATCATTCTGTCCGGCCTAAAAGACGCTCAGATAGGTCGAGCTGAACGGATTCACTTTTGGAAAATGGAAAAAAAAAAAAAAATTCCCCGTCAATTTTTAAATCATGTAGACAAATGGGAATACCACTCATTATTGAAAATCTGCACATGGCTTAATGTCGACTCTGGAATTACTCTGACACAGTTTACCCAATGTTTAAAAACGACCAGAATACAAATCAGGTGCTGAGACCGGGCTGACTAATGGCTCGGTGTGGAATAGACTGTCAGAAGCCCCCTCACCATGATGACACCGCTGCTCTGTGACGCCCGGGTTGGTGCAGCTAGTCATTTCTGTGAGGCATATTCCACTGACCTTTCTGCCCCTTCATGCAAATAAGACATTAATGATCATTTTGAGATGCAAAGAATTTTATGGATGAACCTCGGTCCACACTGTGTTGCCTGATCTGTGTAGGATGGATCAACACATTTGGAGTGCAAGGACTCAGGCAAAACAACATCCCATTACTAATGTTCCCTCTTCTAACGTCCCCCTGCCTGGAGTTCTGTGTCTATAAAAAGGTAGAGTAACTACATCCCAGTGCTTTATACTGGGTTGATGAACAAGACAGTGGTTACCTTTTAACTTCAAATCTAGATTTTTCTTGTGTCCATGCACAATCTTTTCACTGGATTCTCTGGACACATTTATGTCTGAGA